CAGTCGTCGTCGGCGTCGTCGTCGTATTTCCAGTGAGTATTCGTAGCAGTATGAGGAAGAGTCACCCCTATGATCTCTGACTTCGTGTTTGGAGTTCCCACGCCCAAGCCGAGGCATTTTTTCGACGGCCCCTTCGCATCGTGCCTTCGCGTGGTGCTGCCAACGGCTCCCCTTGTCGGTGAGCAGACTCTAGGTGTCGAGCATCGGAGGGCTTTACGATTTAGAGTTTAGGNNTAAACCCTAAACCCTAAACAGTTTAGCGTTTGGGGCTTCGACCACAGGACTTGACGATGAAGCGTTTGGGAGTTGGCCCCCTGGGGATCTTCGTTTTTTTTTTCGCTTTAGCTCAGGCCAAGGAGCTCGGAGGATGCTCCGCGGGATGAGACGATCCGTTTAATGTAGGGGCCTTAACGGTTTAGGGTTCAGGGTTTAGGGTTTAGGGTTTAGGGTAGAGTAGGGTTTATAATTTTAATAAGGAGCCCCCCCCCAAAAAAATAATGTAGGTAATTATTTAGGCCCCTATATTAGGGACTCCGCGCGGAGACTCCGTTGATGCCGGCCCTGTGGCTTCCAATACTCTATGCCTTGGCTATCTGAACATCTTGCTGCTGAATCTGTCCCTAAATCCGACACCCAGGGCCTAGTACATTCGAGACAATCCTGCCGACACTTTGTCTCTGGTCTGCCAAGGATGCTTACAGAATGGTTCTCAGAATGGCCGCCCACGCCCAGGATCTGTTTGAAGGGTCGGGGAAGGCACGGAACCTTGGAAGTGTGCAGCAAGTACGGACAGAACTTAGTCCTAGCACGTGCAAAAGATGCGAGGATCACTGTCGCCCTCGACGCAAAGATCGGAACTTGTCGTTTCCGAAGTCCTCAGGAAACCCAAAATCCTGAGTTTGAACCTGAACAAGTGCAAGAAGCGACAGCCCGCGAAGATCCTCTAAACTGGGTAGCTACTACTATCTGTACTATCTGGTAGGTAATTGTTTCGTAGTTTGCCATCTGGAACTACCCTAAAGCCTAAACCCCAAATCCCGGACGGTTTGGATTGCACATCCCGGCCTGCGGCATCCAAAGCGGCACAGCCCCAAAGCAATGACGCCCTGAATGCTCAAGCCTTGCGTGCAGGAGCTTGGCTCCAGGGCGGCAGAAGGTGGCAGACATACTCGCACGAGACACTTGGTGATACCATCATCATCAGTTTCTTCTGCATCATCACGAGTATAATAATCAACAGCATCATCATCATCATCATCATCATCGTCATCATCATCGCACTCATCACGATCATGATCAATTAAGATGCAAAAATCACGCAACTATTGGTAGCAAATCATCATCAGCAGTTTGAAGGGGTCTGCGGCCAGTCTAACCGCAGGGACAGAGTTCAGTCCGCAGGATTGATCTGCGTCTTGCTGGGTTTTCCACTGGTGTCTGCTGATGTGCGTTTTCTCGCACGTTTCGCGTGGCAACAGCTTCGCTTCGCCCTCAACCCGATTCCTGAGGCTCCTCAAGCCTAAACCCCAAATTAAATAATAGAGAAGCCTTACGTAATAATTACCTATAGTGTTTTGGGGGTTCCTTATTATGATAATAGTATAGTATACCACCAAAACCCTATTCTAATTTAATCAGGCCTCTACATCAGGGTTTAGGTTTTAGGGTTTAGGCTTTAGGACGATATACTCTAGACCTTAAATTTTCTAATCGTTACCTTGATTTTTGGGTTTGCTTTGACAGTCGCGGGCACCGAAACCCTAAACCCTAGACCAAGATCCCTAAAGCCTAAACCATACGCATAAAGCACCATAGCCCGAAGCCCTAAACCATAAAGCACCATAACCCTTACCGTCCGGTCTACAGCAAACACACAACAGAACCCAACTCTGAGGAAGTCGGAAGAGAGCTTCAATCACAGCAACAACATGTCTATGTGTCGTCTCACAGCTAGAAAGAACAGGGTTTAGGGTTTAGGTTTAGGGTTTAGGGAAACATAACCCCTGAACCCAAAACCCAAAACCCAAGACCCTAACCCCTAAACCCTAAACCCTAAACCCTAAACCTAAACCCTAAACCCTAAACCTAAAACCTAAACCCAAAACCTAAAACCTAAACCCTAAACCCAAAACCCAAGACTTTCGGCCGAAGGAAGTGGCAAGGCTCGGTGAAGCCGGCAGAGTGTACCTCGGTGGATCCTCGCAGGGATGCAGCTCGGCTGAGGATTTCGCGTGGTTGCTTCGGGTTTTTGCAGTTTTGGGGTTTAGGGTCTAGGGTTTAGGGTTTAGGTGTTTAGGGTTTAGGGTTTTGGGTTTGGGTATTTTGGGGTGTTGGTGTTTCGGGGCGAGCTCGCGACCGGGACAGCCTCAACCCTGAGCCCTTAAAAGACCCTAAACCCTAAACAACCCTAAACCCCTGAACCCCAAAACGCTGAACCCAAACCCCCCGAGCCCCAAACTCCAATCCCAAAGCCCTAAACCCTAAACAACCCTCAACCCCTGAACCCCAAAACCCTAAACCCTAAACGTCCGAGCCCCAAACTCCAAAGCCCTAAACCCCCCTAAACCCTAAACAAGCCTTCAACCCCTGACCCCCAAAAAACTAAACCCTAATCCCTGAACCCCGTAAACCCTTGGCCCTAAACCCCTGAACCCCATAAACCCTAAGCCCCAAACCCCTGAACCCCATAAACCCTAAGCCCCCAACCCCTGAACCCCATAAACCCTAAGCCCCCAACCCCCGAACCCCATAAACCCTTTAGCCCTCAACCCTCGTTCTTCGAAGTGGAACCCTTCATTCGGCCCGGGCCCTGCCTGACCACTCCCACAGCAGCACCTCATCAGCATTTGGGATTTTGGGGTTTAGGATAAACCCTAAACCCTAAACCCTAAACCCTAAACCCTAAACCCTATTTAGGGTTTGGGGTTTAGGGTCTGGGGTCTAGGGATTCAGGCCAAGGGTACTCAAATCTGCTCAGAGTTTAGGGTTTCCCGGGTATCAGAGATGGGGGTTTGGAGTTTCGCTGGGGGCTTTCGGGTTAAACGGTTTAGGGTTTGGGGTTTGGTTTAGGGTTGAGGGCTTTTTAACGGTTTAGGGGCGTAAAGCAGCCGTCCAAGAGTGCAGGCAAAATTCATTGGCTGCTATTGCAATCTCAACTCAGCCCGTCCTTGGAGGCATCGGGTGCGTTCATGGGCTCTTCTCCCTAAACCCGAAACCCCAAACCCTACACCCTAAGCCCCAAAAGCCCAGCAACCTGCGAGTCCCAAACCCTGAACTCCAAAGCAAAGCCCAGGCATTCTTGGGCTGGACACTTTCCTGCGATCGCCACACGCGCCAGGGCCTGGAAATGACCCCCAAATACCTAAAACATAAAACCCATCTCAGGGTTTGGGGTCTAGGGCTTTTCTTTTAAGTGTAATGGTTCCTTTTCTAGGGTTTAGGGTCTGGGGTTTAGGGTTTAGGGTTTAGGTTAGGGTTTAGGGTTTGGGAATCCTCACCTCTAAATCCTAACCTGCGAAGCCCTCTAGAGTCCTAAAGCCTTGAACCTCCAAGACCATAACAAAACCTAAAAACACCTTAGACACCCTAAACACCCTAAACCCTAAACACCCTAAACCCTAAACACCCTACACCCTACACCCTACACCCTACATCCTAAACCTAAACCTAAACCCTAAACCCTAAACCCTAAACACCCTAAACCCTAAACCCTAAACACCCTAAACTCTAAACACCCTACATCCTAGATCCTAAAAACCCTAAACCCTAAACACCCTACATCCTAAATCCTAAAAACCCTAAACCCTAAACACCCTACACATCCTAAATCCTAAACACCCTAAACCCTAAACACCCTAAACCCTAAACACCCTAAACCCTAAACACCCTACACCCTACACCCTACATCCTAAACCTAAACCCTAAACCCTAAACCCTAAACCCTAAACACCCTAAACCCTAAACCCTAAACAACCTAAACCCTAAACACTCTACATCCTAGATCCTAAAAACCCTAAACACCCTACATCCTAAATCCTAAAAACCCTAAACCCTAAACACCCTACACATCCTAAATCCTAAACACCCTAAACCCTAAACACCCTAAACCCTAAACACCCTAAACCCTAAACACCCCAAACCCTAAAGCCCAAACGCAGAAA